AAGCTGCATTTTAAATTAGCTCCTCTAGGTTATATTTATGTACATTAAAGTTTAAGAACCAGCAACCTAAAACAACTGAATGATATTGGTACAAGGAAACTCTTTCATTACAAAAGCAAGTAAAGATGAAAAACCATGAGGGTAGGGGGAGTCTGAAGGGAGTCACAAGAGACTGGGGACACCAAAATCAAAGTTATAGCCTAACTTTTCCTAAAAACAGGACTATACTCATAATCCCTTAACTAAGATAGATAGTATCAGAATGTTACAGATTTCATCTATTTCAGCACTGCGGATTGAGGCCAGGGACCTCCCCATGCAAGGCAAGCAATCTACCACTGAGCTACACCCCAGCAACAGATACAAATTTTAAAACTACAAAAGCAAAAGCTTTAGCTGAGGATTTAGCTCAGTGGTTCTGCCGCCTGCCTCTCAAGCACAAGGTCCTGAGTTCAATCCCTGGTACAAAAAAGCAAAAGCTTTAATTGGGAGATACACAAGGGCAAGTGTTATGGAGAACTCGAAGGAGCTGCATGACATTTGCGTCAATGGTAGGAACAGAACAGGGCAGTTGGTACATTCATTTGTCCAGCCTAATTCACATATAAGTCTGTATTATTTACTATTTTTTAATTGCTTAAGTAACTTATATCCACATCCACAGAAGATATTTATGTTTGCTTCTTTGTACTTTCTAGTCTCATGTGTTCAAGAAGTATGGTGTATTATTCCCTGGCCAAAAGAAGAGTATCAAATGTTAAGCTATACGCAAATTAAGAGAATGCAGTTTCTGTCTCTTCAGGAACTGCTTTTCTTTCTAAAAAAGTGGGGGGGGGTGTGGAGGAGAAGGAAAAGAGCTTAAAATCTGAAGCAACAAAATATTCAACAAAATATTAGTTGGAGATAACAGCTCCTTTCTTCAACACTAGTATCCTTCATGAAAAAAAGTGATGTCTGTCAGCAAGAAAAATAAAGTGCTATGAATAAATCACTATGAGCAATCATCCAGGCAACTACTACCATCACTCCTCACCCCAAGCCTTGGGACTTAATATTCATGCTTTGTACTTTCTAGTCTCATGTGTTCAAGAAGTATGGTGTATTATTCCCTGGCCAAAAGAAGAGTATCAAATGTTAAGCTATACGCAAATTAAGAGAATGCAGTTTCTGTCTCTTCAGGAACTGCTTTTCTTTCTAAAAAAGTGGGGGGGGGTGTGGAGGAGAAGGAAAAGAGCTTAAAATCTTAATATTCATGCCACAGTCCTAGGTACTCTGGGTTCAGAAAGAAACAACTGCCTGCATGATGTGTAAGGACATCCATCTGTGGGGTCAGAAAAAGGAACTGGATACAAGGGCAATTGCAAAGGAAGAGCCTTCAGAAAGAGCTTTCATGATGGATGTGTGGGAAAGGCTGAGGAGAAAAGAAAGACTCCAACATAAATCACAGGTTTCAAGCTGGACAATAAACAGAATCATGATGCCAGCACTACAGACAGAAAAGGAAAGAACTGATTTTGACAGTACAATGATGCATTCCACCTTAGAGATAGAAGTTTTAAGCAGATGACCGGGTATCCAACTAGAAACATCTGGCAGAGAAATGCAAATGCAATACTACAGCTAAAAAGAGGGGTCAGTGCTACAGATGGTAATTTGATCATTTTCTCTTTTTGTTTGTTTTTAGTTCCATGAGATAAATTTTGCTATTTAGTTCCGGCTGGTCTTGAACTCATTATGTAGCCCAGGCCAGCCTCAAACCCTCAGAGATCCTCCTGTCTCAGCCTCTTGAGTACTGGGATTACAGGTGTGCACCACCACATCCATCTTGATAATTTTCATTTATGCCATGGGCATGTCATTATAACAGATAAAATATCTGAAAGGGACTTTAAATAGAAACAAGGCAGAGCACATGCTAGGCCTTTAAGCTTCCAAGAATAGAAGCCAGTGAAAGGAGCAGGAAAAAGTAATCAGAGAAATTGGATAAGAAATATAGTGGCTCGAAGTTACAGGAATTGAAGAAGAAAAACAACCAACAAAATGAGAATTTCAGTTGCATGAAGCAGTAGAAAAAATATCAATGAAAATAAGGAACAAGAAAAATAACAGATTTAGAAATTAGGAAGCTATTGGTGTATTTTAGTAGGGCCAGATCATAATGACTTAATAGGAAAATGGGTTATGGTAACCACCAGCACAAAAGGAAAAAAGAACTGGTTTTGAGAGCAAACTGATGCATTTCATAGACACAGAATTTTCAAATTGATGGCAGGATATCCAAATAAAACTTGGCTAACATTATATAATATGTGCACCTATGTAATTTACAATTTTATTATTTTAAAATTAGAAACAGATTAAATTAATTTTAATATTTTATTTAATCCAAAATTTCAATTTGCAATTAATATAAACTATTGAGATATTTGATACATTTTTATCTTCTGTATTATTTTCAAAATGTTAAATTTACATTTAGAGCATTTGGTAAGCTACATTTAAGGTTTTTAATAGCAGCATATAAATAATGGCTTTCTTATTAAACAACTAAGTCTGAAAATATAGACACATTCCATGTAGAATGAAAGGGAAGGCTTCATGTGTACCCAAACTGGAGGCTTGCTCGTATGAGGAGGTTATGTGCATGCTAATTACAAGAATCCCATGTTCTTGGTTAGGGTGTGTATTGGGTTTGGCTGGCTGGCCTTAAATTAGAAGCAAGGTGTATAAAAAAACATCTTTGAAAAGTGGGGTGAGCAGGCAAACCACTTTCGGGTCCCTCTTCTGTCTCTCTTAGACAAAGCTTTCTTTCTCTGAATAAATTTTTCCTATTCTTAAATAAATAAATTGGAATCCAGGACAAAAATTAGGAAAGCTATCAGCTATTAATCAAGACTTGGCCATTTTGTGTTGATTGTTACATGGGCTATTGTTTGACATATGGGACTATTACTAGAGATAGAAGACTGACTCCTACGAGTCATTTATAGTACGTCGGCTTGCTAGGCTACTGATTGTAGGTAATAGGGCAGATTAATATAACTTGAGGGTCAAAGTTCCATGTGTATATATGATCGGTCCATTGTCCACTTGTATATTCAGCCTCTCAATTGCCTTGCTTCTGTTACTCATTGGAATAGTATGCTTTGAATTTATTGTAGTTCAGCAAAGTTGTATGTGGGAAAGCTAAAGATCTAGGTCATAATCTCAATTATTTCATTCCTTGGAGGTGTGAACTCAAAATCTTAAATTTTGTAATCCAAATTCTGTCACTGCTTTTGGGAAGTAAAATAAAGGGAAATCAAGGTTTTGCTGCTAAAAATATTAAAGTGTAAAAGAGACAACCAAAAAAGCAAAGAGAACTAATAATGCTATACTTCCCTATAAATTTATTATAATTTAACCAGAAATTTCAGCTATAAAAACACAGTTTAAAAAATTTACAACTCAGTCTGAATGAATAAGCAACAGAAAAATATGAAGTTGTAACTAATCAAATACTGAAATTTTGCAAAATTATGTCAAAATTAAGATTAGATTACAAGGTATCCAAGACAAATGCAAACAATAGGCAAGAATCAAAAATATACTCAAATTGATGAATTAAACAGAAGCCTCGGGGAAAGGGATACTAAGGCAGGTGTGTGTGTGTCTTCATACATATATTCATATACATATTATAGCCCAACTATAGAAAATATCTTTTTAATGTAATATTTAAAAACAACATATTTATTGGAGTCATTCATAGGAAAATGGGTGCATATTGAGAATATACTCAAGTGAAATAAATAAGTCACACATGCAAATACTGAATAGTTTCTCTGGTGTGAAAACTATAATTGTACATAAGATCCTAATGGTATAATTGACAATATGAAATAGAAAGAAAAGGGCTAAAGGTGTAGGGGAAGTGGAAAGGGTTGGAAAAAGAAAAAAAATGAGAAAACGAAAAAATGGAAATAAAGTTTTTGTAAATAGGGAAGGGAGGAGGGGGTGAAGGGAGGGCAGGGGTGAGAGGAAAAAATGAGAACCAAGACCTGTCATGTAAAGGTGCAAGATCCCAATGATGAATGTAACTGTACTGTATACCTAAAATGTACCAATAAACTCAATGAGAAAAAAAAAACCAAAACACCATACTTTTGCCCAAAAACAATGTTTCAAAAAGTATAAATAATGTAAAATAATTTTATTATTAATAATAAACCAAAACAAGTATTTCTATCTAGAATTCTGTTAAATAACTTTTAAAAACTCCTGAATCAGAGATACTGAAATATCAAATTTATAAAATCAATGACAATGAAAACACTAAATTTTTGAATCAATGATATACAATTAAGCAGGAATGAAAGAAAAAGTATACTTTTAAATAGTTCCACATAAAAATTGAAAGGATGAAAATAAATAAATGTTCACTTAATTAGAATAAATGCCTTGTTCCTGAAGAAGATTTATTGAATAACATAAAGATACTAATTCATGAGTAAGGTAAAATTTAACTTAGGAGCAGTTACAAATAAAAACATCAAAAGCAGGTACTATACAAAATAATTGCAAAAATAATGAGTTATCAACAGAAAACAGAAGAATTAATAAATAAATCAGAATGTTATTCTTTGGAAAATCTCCACAAAATACATAATCTACTAGCTAATTAACCAAGTGAAAAAGAGAAGAACACAAATATGTAATATAATAATAAAAGACAATATAATAATCATTTTAAAAATCATAAAAGACTGCATAGCACAACACATATACATGAAAAATTATAAGATTCAGTTGAAATATGTCTTCCTAAGATTTACCCTAGTAGAAATAAATGTCAAACAATATATCATTCTTTTTTACTACAACTGAAAAATATGTATATATTCTCACAGATTCACACACACAAGTGATTTAAAAATATACTGAATGTTTACAATTTTTTAGTAAATTTATTACAGTTTTACTACTGATCAATAGGACAAATGCATTTAAAGCAAGGGGGGTATTGTGAGCATGTTGATTTAATTAATAGTGTGTTTTTTACTGTAATAAAGTTTAAACATTCCCTATATTTTTGAACAGCCCCCAATTCGATCAAACATTTACAGCAATTCCTGTAAACAAAAACACTGTGGTGCGTCCTCATTCACCTTACTCACTGGATCTGGCACTGTGCGATGTATGGCTCTTACCTGAAGTCAAATGATAATGAAAGGTAAACATTTAGAAATGATTCAGAAGCTCAGCCATGGCAGCACAACTAAGGAATTCATGAAAGAGGACTTCCAGCACTGCTTCAGAAAGAGGCAAGAATGATATGGTAAATACTTCAAACAAGAGGGAGTCCTCAGAGAGGGATTGCTGGTAGTGTATCTTTTACCATAACGTATATATTTTTTCCTCATTGAGCTTATCAGTACATTTTAGGTATACAGTACAGTTACATTCATCATTGGAATCTTGTACCTTTACATGACAGGTCTTGGTTCTCATTTTTTCCCCTTGTCCCTGCCCTCCCTTCACCCCCTCCTCCCTTCCCTATTTACAAACACTTTATTTCCATTTTTTCATTGTCTCATATTTTTTCTTTTCCCTTATTTCCTTTTCCCTACCCTTCTCACTTCCCCTACACCTTTAGCCCTTTTCTTAATTCACATTGATAATATACATTTTAAATTTGAGTATTCATTGTATTTTCAGTCACACCTAGGATCTATATATATCACACACAAACATGCACACACACACACACACACACACACACATGCACACACACAGAACCACACACACAGCTTCTTTATCCAGTAGTCCATCAATGAGTACTTAAATTATTTCCATATATTGTCTATTGTGAATAATGCTATAATGAACATGACATGCAGATATCTTTATGAGATGGTGATTTAATTTCCTTTGGGTATATGCCCAGAAGAGGGATTGCTGAGTCACATGTTAATTTTGTTTCTAATCTCTTCATACTATTATCCATAATTGCTGTACCAATTACCACTGACAGCTCACAAGAGTTCCTTTTTCTCATCATCAACATTTATTATCTTTTGACTTTGTGTCAGTAACCATCCTAACACGTAGGGTGGAATCTCACTGTGGTTTTGATGTGTGTTGCCTATTGCTTAATGATATTTCATCATCTTTTCATATACCTGTTGGGTACTTTATATTTCCTTCAGATAAATGTCTAGTCAGGTCCTGTGCCCCATTTTAAATGAGGTATTTGTTTTTCAGCTACTGAATTGAATAATATCTTGCCATTTTCCACAACATGGCTTAGCCCAGAGGACACTGTGCTAAGTGAAAAAAGCCAGATACCGAACAAAAAATGATGCATGATCTCATATACAGGTGGAACTTTAAACAAACAAACAAACATATACAGAAATAGAGAAAACAATGCTTACTGTCCCAGAAGTAGGAATTATGGATGCACAGCTTAAGATAAATAGGATGAACAAGTTTAGTTATATAATGAACAACTGGAGCTCTCTAGGTAATAAAACTGTACTGTATTTTAGATTTATACTAAATTAATGTATTTTAGATTCTCTTTCTATACCATCATGGTATACACCGTAAATATACACAAGAAAGCTTATTTTTATAAAAAAGAATAAAACATCAAACAGAATAATTTCCATTTAAGAAACAGAAACAAAACACTAACCCACAAAAACAGCAAATAGGATGAAATGACATGGTTTCACAAGGAAATTCCATCAATGCTTTTATGTTCCAAAACAGAGACGGCAAAAGAGAATCTGCCTACTTGTCCTCCTAAATATCTCTTTAACCTGGCCCTACCCTCCATGCCCACAATGATTGCCTTAGCTCAGATTCTCATATTATAATTCTTTCTATTGGTAAGTTTGCGATACATAATATTTACATTTCTTTGGGAAAATACTGGTACATATGTATATGGTATAATCCCTGGTATTCCCCACCCCCCCAAAATTATATATATGGTAAACATTTAAATTGTTTAAAAAATACTATCACAGCAAAAGACATACGTTATTAGTTAGCCTCAAAATATTCCCCTCAATTCAAATTACTTGTCCCATTGGTCTTCCCACTTTGTGAAGCAGTCCTGGAAGTTCTCTTTCATGTCTTACAAAGTGTGATCAATGATACAATGAATGATGCATCCCAGGGCCATCCAACAGAAAAGCAAGCTTGTAAAAACATCTTTGTGTGTCCTCATCTTAGTCACAGGATCTGGCACCATGTGACTACTAGTTCTTCCCCAAAGTCCAAATGATCTTGAAAGCAAAATGTTTAAAGCGATTGGGGACATCACAGCAGCCATGTCTTAGCTATTAAAGACACTCAACAAAAGAGGTCTTCTGGAACTGATTCAGAAAGTGACAAGAATCATAAGGTAAGTGTTTTAGAAACAAGGGGGAGTTTTTGAAGGGGGCTAATGACAATCTGTCTTTTACTGTAATATACTTTTTTTATTACATATATGGAAAATTTTATTTACCTTGGTAGAGAACATACTGAAATTGACATTGTATGGGTTTTTCATTCCAATATGAAACGGTGTTTACCTTTTTATTACATATTGATCTGTGCTGGTTTTTTTTTTCGGGTTTCATAATAATTATCTTATTTTGCTATTTTGAATGTAAGAGAAAAACCCAAATTTCTAAAACACAAGAGTATCTGTAGTGTGGTGTAGTTATATAAGGTTGGGTTACACCTGCCTACTTTATTTTTTTATTATTTTTTTTCAGCTTTAATTGAGTTTATTGGTACATTTTAGGGATACAGTACAGTTACATTCATTGTTGGGATCTTGTACCTCTACATGACAAGTCTTGATTCTCATTTTTTCCCCTTACCCCTGCCCTCTCTTCACCCCCTGCTCCCCTCCCCATCTACAAACACTTTATTTTCATCTTTTCATTTTCTCACATTTTTTTCTTTTCCCTTCTTACCCTTCCCCTACCCATCCCTCCTTTTAATGTAAATATTCACCATAGTTTTCAATAACACCTTGTATAACCTATCTTCAAGTCTTCAATCCTTTTTCCCCCACTCCCACTTCCTTTCCTCATCCTCTTCTCTTATCTCCTGATCCCCTCCCTTCTCCATCTCCAAAAAGTTTGCTTCCCTGTGTCCTATCTCCCCTTTATTTTACTCTTTCATTGTATTCTGGGTGCTCTTTTAAGAGAAACCATGTTATATTTAACTTTCTGTGTCTGGCCTATTTCACTTAACATTATAGGCTCAAGATCTATCCATTGACTCTCCATTCTTTCTTTATTTTAATTTAATTTAATTTTATTTTATTTTTTGCACATTGCCTCTGGAATGCTACCATTTTGAAAAGAAAAAAACTGAACAGTCATTCCTCTCTTTAAAATCTGCTAATAGTACTATATTTCCTTTATCCAAAATAAAAATCTAAACTCTTTAGAGTGGTATATAAAGTCCTCCAAGAATACCCTCTCACTCTCCTAGCCCAAGGCTCTGAGTTAACACAGAGCCTTTAAAGTACCGTGCTATCGCACATCCCTGAGCTCTTTCTCCTCTCCCTGGATGGCCTCCTCACCCACCTCTCCCTGGCATAGTAAACAAGTCTGTTCAGCACAATCCTTCAAGACTCAGCTTGTGTCATTTCCAGCACCCTGCATATCTCTCTCATAGCAGGGGGTTGCCGTCTCTTTCAAGACGTATTTCAAGAAATAAAAGGATAAATGCACTACAGTAGACATTCATGCAATGTACTGTTCTTCGGCAATCAAGAAAAAAATGAGTTATCAACCTATGAAAAGCCATGGAGGAAACATAAATGCATATTGCTAAGTGCAAGAAACCAATAATAAAAGGCTACATATTACATAATTGCAATTATTACATATGACATTTATAAGTCAAAACCAAAGTAAAAATGTCAGTGGTTGCAGGGTTGGGAGAGGGAGAGAGTGATGAAAGGGTATAGTATAGGGGGTTTGATGATGATGAAACTATTCTATATGACACTAACATGACTACATGATATTTCACATTTCTCAAATCTCAGAGATCTTCACAACCTACAGTGAACCTTAATGTAAACTAAGACTTTAATTAATCATAATGTAACAACATTGGTACATCAAATGTAACAAATTACCACACTGTCGCAAGATGTTATTACTGTGGGGGATGGAAAGAAAAGGTACATGGGAACTCTTTCTTCTCAATTTTTCTGAAAATCTAAAACTTCTCTAAAAAAATAAAGGCTATATTTTAATGAAGCATGAGTTACTACTGATACCTCTAGTTTAACTTAACACATCTTTAACTTCTTTGATCTGATATTTGTCTCTCTTCTTATATTGAAAATCTGGATTCATAAAAAAATCACTTTAATAAATAAATATGAAATTAGCATGGTTGTAGCTGTGTTAATTCCTTAGGAAACACTTTTACAAAGATGGCATGAGAGAAATCTGAACAAATAATCATGAAATGTAAACTCACTGAGTACAGATGAATGTTTTAATTGCATACGAATTGCTGTCTTTTAATTTGGTATGCATTTCTCAAATATTTTCTTCATTCACAGAAATTCAAGTAGCTCTAAGACCTATAGAAGTGAAAATTTAAATTTTTGAAAACAAACTTATCCAACTATGGGTAACAAGATAGAGTTCGACTATGGTTGTTTTTAGAAGTGATAAACTAGAAAGAATCCAACTCTCAGTTCATCTAGATATTGATAAGAGAATTTCATTCATCAAAGGCTTCCCAAAATTCTACGCAATGAAAGTCTAAAGATTTGTCTCTATACTCAACTAAGCATTCACTATCAAACAATACACTGTTCACATGGAAAATCTGATTACATCTTTTTAAATTACTGCATTTTCCATTTATGAAAATTAATATGCACAAAGTATGTTTTGCTCTGGACCACGACAGAACAAAATAGTTCCTTACAAAATGGATATTTGAGGATAAATTAATAAAGAGATTATTTATAAAAGTATGGAAAAGTTTAAGGGAAATCACTTGGTGTGATATTTTTTCTCAGGGATAGTAACTGCAAAAGTATTGCTTCCCTAGGTCTGATGGTGTGCAGAGAGAAAATGGCTACTCACACCTGGAGAGAAAAGGGCAGTTAGCAGGTCTTAGAGCATTTAAAAGAGGTTCCAGCTAACCTATTATGATCTGACAGACA